CCAGGAGCTGGGAGCCTTTTGTGAATCTTGGGGTGAGCAGGGCAGAAGGCCCCAGAAAACCACTGGTGCGGTCTAGATGCTTGTGTGAGGTGTGAAAAAGGAAGGGCGGCATTGCTGGCAGGACCTCAACGCTTGTGCAAGCTGCAGGAGTTGAGGAGGGAGCACCAGGGCCCCGTAGACATCTGCTCTCTGGAAGGGGTCGTCTGTGTGGGCTGGTTTCTCTGCTGCCCTGGTTAATTTTCTCAAAACACTTTTTCTTTTTGTAAAGAATGTTATTTGTGAGGGCATCATCCAGTGTGTGGGTGTGTGTTGGGGAATCAAGTTACTCTTGTAATCTAGGTTCTTGTGTTTGTGTAGTTAAAAACCAAATTCCCTGGTCATCTTTGGGAAAAGCTGCAGGGATCCTAGTCGCTTTGGACTGTTATTCCTTAGGGCTCTAAGTGGTTTTATCAGATGCAGCTTGGAGCTGCCAGGCCAGTTTCTCTGAGAACTTTGCTCATCTGGAAGTCAGAGTCGCTTCAGTAGAGAATTAAGCTTGCTGGCTTTTAGGTTAGAGCTGAGTTTTGAAGCTTTAAGCTGGGTTTAGCATTGAACCTGGGAAAATTTAACAGCAAGACCCTGCCACCCTCATTCCTGCCAGCCTTCTCCTGCTTGCCCATCAGCTGGCACTGTGGTTTTGGAAATGAGCTGTGCAAGAAATTGTGTGCAGTACAGGATACGATGAGCAGTGTGTGCAGTTTTCCCTTTCGTTCCGAAAGGCTCTGCTCCTCCCTAGTGTAGTATATCAACTAATTGCAGATTCAGTTTCTGCTCACTGAGCAGTCAACGTTAATCTGCCCTCAGGGTTTTACTGGGCTCGAGCCAGACCTTTCAGAAGGGTTTATGAATTTAAGTCTCAGTGTCCACAGTCACAGGATTAAATCCGAGACTGAATTTTAGGGATCTTTGGATTCAAGTATCCTGGTCTCTGTCTGCCATGAATGTTGGGGTTCTTGATTTAGTTAAGAATCCAGAGATCCATCTTACCCTGTTCTAACTGAAGTGCCCATCAATTAGTAGTGTTAAAAGAGTTTCATCTGTCAAGTTTGATTAAGGTGTTCCTTAGGTGCAGAAATGCAATGTATCTGTGTGATATCAGTGGGGTTTTCATTTAAAAAATGCATTTTCAAAAAAGCGTCTTGGGGGAAATAGTTATCATTCCCACACTATCATTATGGAGGAAATAGCCAAATCCATTTAAGGAATAAAATGAAGAGGAATGTTGTGTCCAAAGTTCCTGAGAGGCTCTGAAAATCTCAGAGGTGTGTGGACAACATTTTGTGTCCCAGATTTTTGCTAAGGAAAGAAAGGAATGCCAAGAAGTAGAGGGGGAATAAGGGAATGAAGGAATCGAGTAACATGATTATTTGGAGGAGGAATGCTGCCACTCGTTCACAAAGGCTTGATTTTTCTCCATCCTTGACAGCTAAAGGAGAAAGAGGTCTCCCAACATGGCTTGATCTAAATAAAGCCCCTGATCTGAATCCATTAGCAATGAGTAGTGAACATGAGTTTTGCTGTATGTCAGTGTCATGTTTAATGAACTATATAAAGCCAGATTTCACATTCTCATATGCGTGTGTCTGTTCCACACATCTTGCACTTCAAATGACAAGATTAGGGACAAACAGTGGGAGAAGTAAGAAGGTGTGGCTCAAACAGATCACAGGCCATGGGAGCACCGGGGACTGCTTATGTAGTGTCTGTCTATTTTTAATGATAGTCATCCTCCCTGCTAAGTGATATGCAGCATCCTGGACAGTGTGCTTGTTTTTTCCTTGCCAATTTGTCTCCCACTGCTGCCACCTAGCAAGCTAGGACTGGTTTTGGTGGAGGTGATCGTGCCTCTTTTGTAGTCAGGGACCTCTAATGATGCTCTGTGACAAGGCAATGAGGTAAGATCACAAAAGGCTGGAAACTCCTGACTCTGCTTGAAACACAGCTCTGACTATTTGTTTTTCCTGTGTTTTTAATAGTCTCCAAGAGACTTATGAAGCAAAGAGGAACGAATTCCTGGGTGAACTCCAGAAGAAGGAAGATGAAATGAGGCAGATGTTTGTCATGCGAGTGAAGGAGAAGGAAGCAGAGTTGAAGGAAGCAGAGAAAGATGTGAGTATGTTATAATTTGGGGGGCTGTGTGTGAAGGTTTAGGCTGGGGCTTTCCCAAGAGAGCCCTGAGAAAGTGAGCATCCAGATTCCAGCATGAAGCCTGCTATGGTGCTTGGTGTGCATAAACAGTCTTAAGAAGCAGATGTGAACTCTATTCCCAGTCCTGCCATGGACTGGTGGTGTGACCCCATCACACAAGTCCTCTGCTGCTTTTCTGTGCCTGTAAAATGGAGCAGGAGATTCCCTGGGTTTGGGTAGCTGGAGGAGGATGCATACCATGGGGTGAGTGGGAGGTGCTGCAGAGTGACAGTGGCAGCAGCTTTATGCCCCACAGAAATGTGGGAGTCCTCTCTGCTCCCTCGTCTCTTCAGTCCCACCCAAAGGAGAGAACACGTTTGCTTCTCAGAGTGATGCTGATTTGCAGTGGATCTTTAGCTGTGGTATAGCCCATTCTGTCCTTTAGTGGTCACACCTTTCTGGAGACTTCCAGTAAGTAGAAAAGGACTTCTCACTGGGTGTAAGTCCCACTAAGCGTGGTTGAGGGATGTGACAAAGTTCTTTGAGAGCTGCCCTACCATGGCTTGCTCAGTGTATGTAGGTCAGCATAGGGACAGAGAAAACGTAGATGTCCTGCTAGTGGAGGGAGCTGGTTTTTGGGCCTCATGGAGGAGCGTGTACTTGTAAAGAGGTAAAGAGTCCCAAAGAAGACCCTGAACAGCCACGTTTTCTTGCTTTGCTTGAGCATGAGAGCCTCTGCTAGATATGAGGGATGGGATGTCACCTCCCTACTCCTGATCTGTCATTTTCCTGCAGCAGCTGCAGTGCCTGCCATCCATGTGTGCAAGTGTGTGTTAACTGCAAGGCTTTTCTCACGAAGTCAGGTTTGCTTGGGACAGTCCAGTGGCTTGTTACTAATGCAGGGAGGCCTCAGTGGCAGTGGAACTGCTTCAGGCATCATTACCAGTAACTGGGGTGAAACATTCTTCTCTTCCTGTCCAATTCTCATTGTCTCTGTCCTGGCAGCTTCATGAAAAGTTTGACCATCTAAAGAGGACTCACCAAGAAGAGAAGAAAAAAGTGGAAGACAAAAAGAAGGAACTTGAGGAAGAGCTGAACAACTTTCAAAAGAAGAAGGCAGCAGCTCAGCTATTACAGTCACAGGCTCAGCAGGCAGGTTCTCAACAAACCAAGAAAGACAAGGACAAGAAAAAGTAAGCGGATGTCACCCACATCCTTTGTAGGGTTTGTTACTGTTTGGGAGGTTGTGTTTTTTTTTCTTGGTGCATGTCTGTATTTGCTTTTCCCCATTACCATACTGGAAACTGGGCTTTGATCAGCCTGATGAAATAAAGTATTTTTTTCTAAAGGGTGGGCCAGGGACATGATCTTAATTTTTCTCTTTAGAAGAGTACCTTCAAATTTTATGTCAGTCTGACTGGTATGGGAGAGCAATTGGATGGTGGAGGTTTGACCTATGATCTGTCCAGCTCTGGGATGTTCTGGACTCAGATTTATCTGCCTGAGCCAAAATTAAAGGGGTCTTCACCTGTCCTTTGTTCCACCTAAGAGTAGTCTCCAGGTCCTATTCTTTAAGGTTATAATTGTAAATAGAAGTAAGTTAGAAACCAAAACCACCATGTTATTTTTACATGGGAAATCTTAGTGCCAAAAGTGGATACTTGGGAGCTTGCTTTAAAGACAAGAAGTTTTGATTTTGTGGGGTTTTTTTAAAAACAAATTACTGTGGTACCCTATTTGCAGGTAAATGACATTTGTGGTTGTATCAAGTTGACACGATAAGCTAAGAAAGCCATACTTTTTAGTACAGATAGTGGCACTGTCTTCTACTGTCTTATATTTGTATGCTAGGAATATAATCCTATACCCTACAGTACTCTGAGATTCCAGCAACTTAGTAGGCACGAAGCGTATCTGTGGACAGAGCCAGTCTGTGGTCAGTATTTGGAGGCAGGATTTTCAGCTGTGCTCAGTTTGGACCTAATTCTGCTTCCGTTGAAACTGGAGGATCATTGCCGTTGACTTGGGCTCAGAGTTTACTCGCTGCATAGCTCTGTTGAAAACCTTGAGCTCTAGAGTAATCTGAATTGATGTTACCTGCTTCTGGGAGCTTCTACTTGGAGATAGCTATCTTGACCTTGCCATCAGTGCAAGAGACCCCTACTTACTCATGATACTAGCTATTTCACTGTACTTTAAAGAACCAGAACACAAGCTCCACTTTGATGTGATATGTACAGTGAAGCCAGACAGACTTTGCAGAGATGAAGTCTGTGTAGCACAGCAAGACAGGTTACTGCAACAGAGGTCTGCTTTGAAGCCTCCTGTCATAGCTTCCGTTTACTTTTTCCCTCCTGAGTAAGGGAACACTCGTGCAAGTCCTTTCTGGGTCACCTGTGATAACAGCACTAGCTGATAGCAGCATTTGGGAAAGCTGTAGAGATGGTGATGCAGCATATCTCACTGGAAAAGTGAGGTACGAAGAGAGAGGTATGAGATCTTCTTTAACCCACACACAAAAATGACAGTTCCACGCTTCTCCTAATAGCAGGTAGTAAAGGAATGCATTCCTTAACAGACTGGCAGAGTAACCTACTCGATTAACACGAAGCTGTCACTGTCGAAAGAACCAAAATGCTAGCAGGGATGTGGTATAGACACTTGTGTCTCCCTTGCTAACCTGGGAACTTAAGCCAGGTCTGAGCTGTCTTACAGACTGAGCCTATGAGGTTCTGTTGTGTTGCATATATACGAGTCTATTTTTGTGCTTTGGGAAGTCACACTGATGCTCACTGCATGTCCCCTGTCTCTGCTGCTGGGTCAGTGCCCACCATTTGTTTCTTCTGCCCTGGCTTGCCCGGGGAAGGTGGGGAAGGCCTATGGCTGGTTCCTCAGCTGATGTAAATTGATGTAGCTTCTATGGAGCCCTGCTGCTTTATGCGAACTAGGAGCCTGGCCTTGGGCACATGCTGAAATAGAGAGAGTGCTTGTGTGCTGCATGCTCTGCTTGGGTAAAGAAATCATTACAAACTGATCATGCTGAGCTGGAGGAACAGCTAATGTCCAAGCATGCTGAAACACCATTCTGCTATAATGCCTGTAAATAGGATAGGCTGGAACACCGGTCTTGTCTCACATGAGAATTCAGACATGGTGACCTCTTTCCTAAAAAGCATAGAAAATTTTGAAGGCCCTTTTTCTTACGTCTTGAACAGAGTTGGTACCTTAACATTTTGAATAACTCTGTGGTTAGTTTTTTCACCTCTTAGGTATAGATACAGATATAGACCAGTGCACTATATAACAGCCTGGGGAGCTCTGTGAGGTTTGTGACTTTTGGTAGTCAGTGTTAGCTATTACTTGCTTCTGTGAAGTTGGCTGGCACATGCGCAGTCTTGTGAGTGTGATACACGGATGTTTCTAGCAACCATGACAAACAGTTTCTGCTTTGCTGATGCATTCACAGAAATCCAGTCATGAGGAACGTGCACGTGTTTTAGTGTGTCCTATCAGTGTCGCTCCACACCAGGTGCTGTAACCGCTTTGAGTGTTCTGTATTGTCTGAGTTACTAATGGTGTCTTTAGAGGGAAATGCTGATGCTCCTGCCTTGTAGCACACTTGGGTTTTCTAAAGGCTTTAAGTTTCTCCTTGCACTCTGATGACAAGCAGTTTCTATAGGTAGGGCTTTCAACCTTTCTCTGTGCTGACATGGGCTGTGGTGGTTCCTGTGCAGTTGCCAGAGGAAATCCTTGCCATGCACAATCCTTGTAGCCTCCCCAGAAGTAATTCATAGGAATGCTTTTTTCTCAAGGTGGGATCCGATTTCTCCAGCTTGGACAACAGAGACTTTCCTCTCTGCTGTGTAAGCCAGAGGGAAGGCTTGGAGTGAAATCTGCTGCTGGCCTAACTCCACGAAGGAGAACTTGGCCCTCTTGATTTCCAGGCTGTTCCTGTAGGAACAACTTGTCTTTATATACCTTTTTCTTTAAAATATTATTTTTTCTTTGTAATCCAATTCCCAGATTCCTACAGCTTATGTGTTTTTTCATCTAAAATCGTTGCAGCTCTGGCCTGATGACAGAAGTGTGCTGTCTTCAGGACAGCACATCCATGTACCTCAGACACTTGTGTGACTGTAGAATAAAGCATACTCAAGTACTTCCCTGAATGTGGAGCTGAGCATTACTTATCAAGCCCCTGCTGTAATTTTGGGGAGGGACTGTGCTTCAAATCTGAGCAAGCTGAAGATGGTTCCTGGCAATGGACTTGGCAAAACCAAATATGAGCAGCAAGTAGCTTTCTGGTGCTTGCCTGTTGTCTGGTAGATAGCCACATGCATGCCTCAACACATGTTGTGTTACTTGCTCATCCTCAAACCTCCCAGGAGCTGGGACCATCTGTCTGGGCTCTTTTTCTGTTTATTACAGCCTGCATGTGAAAATGAGATGAAAAACTTGTTTCCAGTTCATTGTGACTGGTCTGTCCATCATGGGCCATGCTTAGTCCCAAAGCGATCCCTGAGCTGTAACACACATGTTATATGGCCCAACACCCTGTAAAAAGAGGGATTTGTTGATGTCTGAAGGATATGATGTGGTTCTGAAAGCTGAAGTGCTGGAGGATGTCATGCTGCCCAGATGTGAGATACCCAAGTTTGGGTAAAGGCTAAGCACACAGCCTCCTGCGAGAGCAGCCATGTGAAGTGACCCAAACCAGACACCTGAAGCCATACCCCCCCAGCCATGCACGTTCTTAAATTGAAGCTTAAAGCCAGTGTGGTTACAGGCTATAGCCTTGACTAACTGAGGTGGTTGGTTGGTCAGTAGTTCTGGCCCCTCTGTTTTTCTTTTTGCTTTTGCTTGTCCTAGGCTGGAGTAGAGCTCAGCCTCGAGGTTTAATTTATTTATAATTTCATAATCCATCTGCATGCCCACCCACCAGAGCGGGTTGCTGGTGTCGGCTCTCCCAGCTTCCTTGGATTTTGGTTTTTGGTTTTGGTTTTTTAATTATTTTTTCATTTTGAGTTCTACTATTGCTAACTTTTTTGTTTTTTGTTCTTTTTTTTAACTTACAGTGCAAGCTTCACATAAAGCCTGTCCAGCCAAGGATGTTCCTGCATTCACCTGCTTTTGCAGTAATGTGTCTCTGCCATCTGTTTTCTTGCTTTTTTTCCCCCACCTCCCCCACCCCCCACTATTTAACATAAGTAACTATTAACTCATCTAATAACATAGTGGGAACAAGAAGGAAGAAGGATTGGGTACAGGACTGTATGCATCTGGAAGTTCAGGGGTGGGTGGAGGGGCAAGGTAATGATTCCATGTATTTTTCTCATCAAAACCAGCAGCGGAAAGTCATTCTTGGCCCCAGATTTGAGCTGAGAGTCGGGGCTAGACGTCAGTAGCTCAGGTGAGCATCATTGACTGGATCAGGTCCTCAGTGCTGCTGGCCTGCCCTGCTCGTGGTAGCAAGAGCTGTGTGCTGAAGGGGTCCCTGGGTCCACAGAAATCAGCCTTGAGGAATTACTGCGGTATGAGCCTAGTCACTGGTGTGGCTAAGCCCTGGAGTCTAGTCCAGCCCATATTCCTTCGACAGCTAATGTGTTAGAGCAACATGAGTCCCTCTGTTGGGGGAGAGGGAGGAGGTATATATGTGTAGATGACAAAAGTTTGACTGACCTTGCATGCCATTACATTTGCATGATATTTTTGAGTAGTTCCTGTTCTTGTTGTCTGACTTGATCATACTAGTTGGCTTGGATTTACTGTCATGTGCTGGCATGTTTTTACAGCCACCCTTCCAAGTTCAGTGTAGAGGCTACCTGCTGAATGCTGCAGTGGGAACCCAGCAGTGCTGCAGGTGCTTGGGAGAAGGACCATTTCTCAGTACTGCTTCCCATGTCTGACCATAACCTTTGAATCCTCACTTAAAACAGTTCCTGATTTCCCATGTGCACCATTTTAGCAGCCCTTATGGAATTAAATACCTGGGTGGGGGGAAGACATAGCCTTCGTCATCCTCATAGACCCTTCAGGAGAGTTCCTGTGTACCTTTATAAACAGACTTGCAAAGCTGTGGGATCCAGAATTTCATGTCAAGGGAATGAGGGTTCCTGGATACACATTCCCTGTGCTCTCCACCAGCCCGCCTGCACCAGAGACAGTGTCCCATTCAGATGTCCCTTGAACGTGCAAAGGAGACTTATCATAAGGAAACGTGTCTGTTTAATGTGTGTTTTCTATGCCGTTGATTTTTGGACAGAGTCTTTCCCTTCATTCCCAGGAAGTG